TCATTGTGTTGGGTGACAACTGTGGACACTGATGCTATCACCCCTGAGTTTGTATTTCATGCTGGCCTGTGTGCCTTTTCCTGAGGCCGTGGGAAACAGCCTGTTCGTATTCATAGGTTCAGCTGGAGTCTGCCCTTGGACCAGGCTGTGTCGCTCCCATTGTCTTGGTGGGTCCCTGGCGTCACTGTCCCTGGATTTTTCTCTTACACTCACCTCTGTGCTGTGCACACTGAGTTTTCACAGTGAAACAGGAGCAGTTCTCTTCTGACTCCTTCTCTGTAAATGTAACTCACTGAGCTACTCAAAAGCCTGGTGTCCACAGGGGCCTTGCCACCTCTGTGCCAAGAGCACACTGAATCTAAGGCATCTGACACGGAGCGGTCTCCCTGCTCTCTGAGGGATCACTCGACCTCTCTGCGTGCTTTCTCCCGCCAGCACGGCTGCCCAGGGCACTCGTCGGCTGCCTGACGGCTAGCTGCCGCCTGTGGCTTTCGCTTTCTGGGTTTCTGGAAAAAATAGTCCATGCTTAATATTTTAAACCAACGTTCTAAAAAGGGACAGTAAGTCTCCCCAGGTCCTAAGACTGCCCTGCAGAGACAGCCAGCACTGATATTCCCTGTGTCTTTTGTTAAAACTCTTTAAATGCTATGTATTTACTTGTAGGTGGACTTTTCTTTCTCACCTGCCCACCAGTTCCCAGATAACCAACACGGAAACTTAATATAACCCATTTCTTTTTTTCTTTCTTTTTCTTTTAAGATTTATTATGTATACAGGGTTCTGCCTGCATGTATGCTTGCATGCCAGAAGAGGGCACCAGATCTCATTTTTGATGGTTGTGAGCCACCATGTGGTTGCTGGGAATTTAACTCACGACTTCTGGAAGAGCAGCCAGTGCTCTTAACCTCTGAGCCATCTCTCCAGTCCCAAATTAACCCATTTCTATTCATCTATGTATTGCCACATGGCTCATGGCTCTATCTGTCCTCCAGCATGTCTTGTTCCCTCTGTGTCTCCTGGTGACTTCTGACTCTGCTCTTCTTCCCACTGTCCTTAGTTTGGTTTTCCCATCTAACCTTACCCTGTCTAGCTATTGGCCAGTTAGCTTCTTTATTACCCAATCACAGTGACATGTATTCACACAGTATAAAGGAATATTCCATATTTATTTTTTCCACAAATAGAATTATACATCACATACTAGAATATTTATAAAATACATTTTGGGTATTTCTAAGTCAACACATGAAGAACCATCTTACTCTCATGCTATAAGTACTATAATATTCTTTTGTGGGGTTTTAAAGCTGTAATTATTGTAGAAAAAAGAAAACAAAAAAGATGTAATTATTTATATATGTGTATGTTTCTCTGTGGATGTGTGCACATGAGTAAGCAGGAGGTGGGGGGCCTGGGGCAGCCTCCATTTTTCTCTGTCCATTGAACCCATGGTCCTCCCTGAACCCAGGGCTCTCGTTTTGTCAGTCTCCTGTCTCCACCCCTCAGAGCTGGGGTCCTAGGTATGCACAGGTCACCCAGCTTGTTACATGGGTACTGTGTAGGGGTGAGTTGTTTGTTTTCCAGACTCGGTGTTCCCAAGGGTGTGTTGAGCTGCACTGGTTGGGGGGGGGGGTGCCTCCGCAGGCTGGATGGTGGTTGGAGGGTGAAGGTGGTGGCAGTGGTTGTTGTCTCTGCAGCAGCTCATCCAGGTGCTGGTGGTAATAGATGGGCTGAAGGAGGACGCCTTGTCGTCTTCTGGCTTTACCAGTCGTGCTGGGATCAAGAGAGGGCCTGTAGGAGAAAGCACAGATAGATGCAGGGCCTCAGCTCTAATTAATAAGTGGAACAGGGCCCAGCCATTGGTTGGGCTCTTGAGGGAGTTTACATAAAATCATTGGTTTGGATTAAGCTTCTTGTGAATTATGTTTTTCTGCAGGTGTTAGGGAAATTGGAAGGAACAATTTATAAAAATTTAAAGTTGATTTTGCAAGTTACTCCTGAGCAGTCAATTCCATATTTTTCCTTTTTTTGTTGATATATTTGATTTTTGAGTAATAAGTGAGGACATTAATTATGGCTTATCCTGAGGGTTATAGTACTGCCATGAGAGACATGAATTCTCCAAAGTTGTCAAAAGCAGATAGAACTTTAGATACGTAAGCAGGACCACTGTCGATTTCCATCTGTTTTGGAACTCCCCGTTGTAGAGAAAGCAGTGTCTGCAAACAGCTCAAGCAGACTCGTGTGTCTGAGCCATAGAAAAGATAGTTGGAAGAGCTTTCAGTGCAGACGTGAACAACTGGAAAACCACCAGAGGAATGTGAGTGGGTTAGACCTTCAGGATGGAGATCACAGGGGTTGACTCCTGGGGTGGTGGGTCTAGCAGCTGTCAGTCAGGGATGGACAGTGGGTAAGCTTATGTCTGTGCTAATTGGAATTGTTGCATAGAGCTTTGGCTTCTTGATAAAAGAAAGAGTGAGGACGGGCAGTGGTGGCGAATGCCTTTAATCCCAACACTCAAGAGGCAGAGGCAGATGGATCTCTGTGAGTTTGAGGCCAGCCTGGTCTACAGAGCTAGTTCCAGGACAGCTAGGGCTGTTACACAGAGAAACCCTGTCTCGAAAAACAAAAAAGAAAGGAGAAGCATCAGCTACTGAAAAGGAGACATGACTCCCACCATATCTGATGTATTTGCTCCATGTGAAAAAACGGTTAGTGCATTTAGATATAAAATGTGTACTGTGGAGAAAAGGCCTGTATGGGAAGTAATGGAATTCCACATAGAGCCTTTACAGGAAGGAGAGGAAAGATTTGTCTTTAAAAAAGTATAAATTATGTGGTTTTTGATTGTTGGGGTTTTTTGTTTGGATGTTTGGTTGGTTTTTAGATTTGTACTGGAGCCCATACTGTGGTCATCATGATTGCACAGCACGTGTCCTGACCCCTGAGCCGTCTCTCCTGCTGTCCCACTGACCATCCGTCCCTTCGTACACTAGCTGTCTTCTGCAGTGTTCACTCTGCAACTTCGGCCGCTGCCTGTTGTCTTGGTCAGTTTGGACTCTGTTGCTGTGGTCAAAACCATGACCAAGGCAACTTACAGAGGGAAGGGTTTATTTGGGCTTACGGTCCTGAGGGATAAGTCCGTCACCATCACAGCGAGCATGGTGACAGGAACAGCTGAGAGCTCACCTCTGGAACTGCAAGCAAGAAGCAGAGAGAACGAACTGGGAATGGCACGCGGCTTTGAAAGCTCAAAGCTCACCCGCAGTAACATACTTTCTCCAGCAACGCCACACCTCCTAGACCTCCAAATAGTGACACCAACTAGGGATCAGATATTCCAATCTCTAAGTCTAGTGGGGACATTCTCATTCAAACCATCACAGTTTTGTTTTGTTTTTGAAATAGGGTCTGATTATTTAGCCTGGACAGCCTAGAACTCAGAGATCCACCCATCTCTGTCTCCCAAGTACTAGATTTAACCGCGTGTGCCGCCATATCCCACCCACATCTGCCTTATTTTTTTGAGACAAGGTGTGTCACAGAACCTGGAGTTGCCAGTTTAGCTAGGCTGGCTGACCAGGGAGCCCAGGGACCTACCCATCTCCACCTCCCCAGCTCGGGGTACAGATGTCTGTGTACCACGGCACTGCCGTAGTTGGTTGGTTGGTTTGTTTTGTTTTTTTGGGGGGTTGTGTTTTGGTCTAAGGATCACACACAGGTCCTTACGTTTCTGGGGCAAGCACTGTCCACTGATGGATCTCTCTGCTTTAGCTGCCTCAGCATGTCAGTCAGCTGTGTTAGGCCAGCAGCTTTGCAGGACACAATGGGCATCTGCACGCTGCTCTGAGGTGGCTTCCACCGTTGGCCATGGTGCTGGCTTTGAGGTTTAGACATTCTTTCTCAACAGCAACTTAAATACATGATTTTACCAGGGGCTTTTATCAAGGATTACCAAGGGCCTCTAGCACAAAGACCCGTTTCTCCCCTCCTCCTCCCCACTTGACTCGTTATGGTTTATGGAGTTGACCCTGGTGTGGAATAAATACGTGGTCCCTCTGAAACTGGCAGCAGCCTTTCTGAGCGCAGAGCTCCCTAAGCAACTGCTTGATGGGACACTTGCTAAAGAAAGGCGTTCAGACTCAACTGAGGCCAGCAGTGTGCGGCAGCTCTCATGTGCACTTCTTCAGACAAGCGTGTCTGTCCACCAGCTCAGCTCTCCACACTGGAGAGGAAGGAAGGGAGGGAGCCCAGGTCCCTGTACAGACGAGCCTCTGCCCCCGCCATCGTGCACTGGAATATTAGTGATCACAGGAAGGTTATCCTGTCCCTCTAGTGTGGGTGTTGACATCGTGAGGGGCCCACACCATGCCAGGGAGTTGCAGTATCCACTGAAAAACAGCTCCCATGGGTGGCTTAAGGGGCGTTATACCATCTTAAGGTGGTTTAAAGACTTAAGTGCTCCTTCAAAAATAGTTGGGGGCTGGAGAGATGGCCCAGCTGTTAAGAGCACTGGATGCTGTTGCAAAGGACCCGGGTTCAATTCCCAGCACCCACATGGCAGCTCACAATTGCCTGTAACTCCAGTTCCAGGGGATCTGAACTCTGCAGGCACTGTGTGCATGCAAAACACCTGTATGCATAAAATAAAAATACTTTAAAAAAGAGAAACCGAACCTCTGGGAGCCTCATCTGGAAAATGAAGTTGGGTCCTTTTTTGACCTGACATTCTGAGGTTGGGGCCTATATATCTGTTTTCTTGAGCAGCCGTGTTCATTGATTCTAGTTTCCTGAAGCCATCAAGGAAGCCATTCTTATTGGCTTCCTGTGTCCCCCACCAGGGAACTAGGCCTGTTCCTTGGACCACAGACTCACCTGGGGCCTGGCTTCCTCTGTACTTGTGTGTGACACCAGAACAGACAAGTCTGGCCTCCCATGGTAGCTGCTTTCTACGGGACTAGAGGCCCTGGCACGGGCCTCATACTCTGTTCCATTGCTAGGTTTGTCGGCTCTGCAAGCAAGAAAAGGGCCAGTGGACTCCTCCATCTCGGCTGGGGATGGACGGAGCCCTAGTTCAGACTGCTCCAGCCACCCCTGGAAGACAGTAGCACCCCTGTCAGCCTTGTCAGACTTTCTCCAAGTCCATGACGGCAGAACACTGCTCTGGAAAGTAGGTTCTGAGTGAGTGTGTGTGTGCGCGCGTGCGCTCGGCTTACCTCCCAGCCCTAACCCCTTTCCAACTGCTGATGTCAGTGGGTCAGTACAGATAGAACTGACTCTGTGTATTCTGTTGGGTTATTTTGAAGAGAATTATGTTACAATTGTTTTTTGTTGTAAATAAAACACATCTTGTCCTAGCAGTATGTAGCACAGATGCATTGTGTGAATTGGACTCGTCTCCTGAAGGCCGTGATCAGGCAGAGGGACGCCGTCTGCAGGGAGCAGCAGGGGTAGGAACTGGGTCTGTTTACTAGAGCCGCAGATCTCCATGACCTGGACAAGGAGCACGGGACACCTCCCTGTGGGGAGCTGTGGCCAGACCAGTTAAATGGAAACTGGAAGCCAGTTGTCTTCCCGCTGGACCTCTGGAGTCTTCCCCCAGTGTCCTGTGCTTCCTCCTTCCTCTCAGATGCCTCCAGCCGTTCCCTTCCCATCTGCATGTGGATGGCAGTCTTTCCAGGACACCCACTCTTAAGCTCGGCCTCCGCTTTGCAGCTTGGAAACGAACTTCCATGCCTCTGCTCAGCCAGGTTTCTGTGACCTGCCACCTAGCTGGGTTTCCCTGGACTCTCAGGAAGAGCCTCCCTTTAGCCCTCTCCTAAGCGCCTACCATTGAAAAACCACTCAAGGGCATCCATGTCCTGAAGACACTCCCAAGGTGAGGACCCATGGAGGCCACATACCTGCTGGAGAGCTAGTGTGCCCCCTGTTGCGAACAAAGGCCCTGGCTGTGCCCATCTGCCTGCAGCTCACTCCTCTGGTGAGAAGATGGTACATGCTGAGGAGAGCTGGGCAGGAGAACTTCCCAGCAGTTCATTCCTGGATATTCCTGGTGCTGCCAGAGGCCTTGAGAACCTGGCTGACACTCCCAAACCTGTATCTTCAGATCTGGACCATGTCCTGGCTTCCTCTGGCAGCAGATGTCCCTCAGTCCCTCCAGAGTTGGGAGCCCAAACCCAACCCTCACATCCTTGCTGAATCCTATGGTAATGACCAATGATCCTCTATCTGGTTGTCTTTCTCAGAAGGGGTGGGAGGCTGAGACAGGCTCACTTTATAGCTCAGGCTGGCTCCTAGAACTCACTATGTAGCCCAGGTTGTCCTTGAGCCTATGATCCTTCTCCCTCAACTACTGAGGTCCTGGGATTCCAGGCGGCACCACCATGTATGGCTCTCTATTTGGATGTGATTATTGGTCTTTGATAGGTCTCTGGCTGTCCAAATATCCAGAAATGAGCTGGGTGGTGGTGCATGCCTTAATCCCAGCACTCAGGAGGCAGAGGCAGGTGGATCTCTGAGTTCAAGGCCAGCCTGGTCTACAGAGTGAGTTCCAGGGCAGCCAGGGCTACACAGAAACCCTGTCTCAAAAACAAAAAAAGCAAAAAATATTGAGAAATGAGTTCAAGCTCTGAATTGTAAGATTTCTGGCAAAGCATTCCTCAGGAGCTTGTGAAACCAGTTCCCATCTGCCAACCTGGAGTCATTTCCCTTACCCCTGGCAGAAGGGACAAATGGCTGCCTGTGGTTGCATATCAAAGCCCACCCAAACTCCAGGTGCCCTCAGTATCACACAAACCTGTTAGACATTTCAAAGTCTACACCAGCATCCTAGTCCTTCTCCCTACCCTAGACTCGAGCTCCGCTTCCCTCCCAGCTGCTCACCCTTCTTATAATCTGGCCGTTTCTCACTGCACACACAGTCTCTGTCTGTCTCTCCCTCCCTCCCTCCCTCCCTCCCTCCCTCCCTCCCTCCCTCCCTGTCTCTCTCTCTCTCCCTACTCCCTCCCTCTCTCCCCCCAACTCTCCCTCCCTCCCCCCCTGCTTTATTCTGCATCTCTTGCTATCTCACTATCTCCACTATTCTCTTCCACTCTCCTAACCCTGGCCATTCTCAGTCCACTTCTTTCTCTCTACTCTGGACTCTACTAGCTGTCTCTGGCTATTTTCTCATATCTACAATAAACACCACCTCCTTGACCATACAATGGAACGGTCATGTCGCAGTTTTGTTTGTTTGTTTGTTTTTTGTTTTTGTTTTGTTTTACTGTACTCCCTTGCGTTCTAACAGTCTTGATTGGCAGTTTGCCTGGATTTACAATCACCTAGGACCTGCATGTACACACAAAATAGTGTTAAAAATGGGGGGGGGGGCAGGCGCCGGGCGGTGGTGGCACACACCTTTAATCCCAGCACTCAGGAGGCAGAGCCAGGTGGATCTCTGTGAGTTCGAGGCCAGCCTGGGCTACAGAGTGAGTTCCAGGACAGGCACCAAAACTACACAGAGAAACCCTGTCTCTAAAAAACAAACAAAAAAAATGGGGGGGGGTTTGCAGATATGGTGGTACATGCCTTTAATCCTAGTGCTTTGCTCAGAAGCAGAGGTAGGCAGGTCGCTGAGTTTGACCAGCCAGGGTTAAGTAAGTGAGACCCTGTTTCAAAAGGGGACGGGGCTGGAGCCAGGGCTCAGAGTGAGTACTGCTCTTGTAGAGGGCCCAAGTTCACTTCCCATCATCTGTAACTCCAGTCCCCAGGGACCCAAAACCATCTTCAGGCTTCTGCAGGCCCCTAGCACTCACATGCACACACAGACACATAATTAAAAGTAAAGTTAAAAAATATAGTAAGAATACACACTCTGCATCACCATTTCTAGGCTTCTCCTGAATAGTGACACTGGACTGAAAGAATGTTCACTCTATATCGTGTTGCTATTTGGATATGGCACTTTGGTGAAAATGCACCCGTGTTGAGGTTTTGGTCCCCAGCTTTGGGCACTACTGAGGTGATTGATCATGAGGGCACTGATTCATCCATGGTAACACACTGATGCATTCATATAGTAAGTTATAGTGTGGGGGAGGGGACCTCTTTACAAGAGGGTCACTGGAGGAGTATCTTGGCCTGTCCATTCCTCTTGTTCTCTGGCCATCGTTGGTGAGCAGCTTTGCTGCATCCTGCCATCCAGCTGCCGTGACAGTCTGTCTCTCCCCAGGCTCAGCTGACCATGCACTAAGACCTTGGGGACATGAGCAAAGGTAGCCCTTTCCTCTTTCTGTTTCTGTGAGGCGTTTTGTCGCAGTGGTGAAAGGCCAGCTCAACCAGGGCTGGAGAATCAATAAAACAGAAAAGAAGTTGAAATCCTTCAGAGGAACTGGGAAAAGAAATCACAGCATGGCTACCTCGGGGAGCGTTTTGTAGCTGTTAAAGAATAAAGGGGAGGTCTCACTTAGGTCACTGATAGAGCTGGGCATGCAGAGTGTGTGTGGCACCTACTATAGGTTTAGGTCACTGATAGAGCTGGGCATGCAGGGCGTGTGTGGCACCCGCTATCGGTGCCCTCATGATTTTCTTCCTGCTGAATTCAGCAGGATGGCCCACAAGGAGGTGTCCTCAGATAACCACTTCAATAAGCACTGTGAGGTCCAGCATGCCCTGCTACCCTGACATCAACTGCCCCTCTGATGTCTGAACAGCAGAGCAGGCAAGGCTGTCTAGCATGATCGAGGTGGTTTTGTTACAGTTCACGAACCAAAACCACCTTCTCTTTTGTTTCCTTGTTTTGTTTGCTATTTGTTGTTTGAGACGGGATCTTGCTGTGCAATAGTCCAAGATGGCCTTGAATTCCTAGATTCTAGGCAGGTGCTCTACCACTGGGCCATGTCTCTAGCCCCTCAGTGGGGTGTCTAGGCAACTTTTCTACTACTAAGTTAAATCCTGGCCCTCTTTTTACTTTCTGTTGTTAGGCAGGGTCTCAGTAAGTTAGTTGTGCACTCACTCTGTAGGCCTTGAACTTAAGATCCTCCTGCCCTAGACTTCCAGTAGTAGGGATGACAGGTGTGTTCCACCATTTCTAGCTGTACTCCCTTCTCAGCTAAGGTGGGCTCCAGGGCGTTCCTCTCCCCTTTCTAACTCCCAGTACAGATGATCAAGATGCTTGACCTGTCCCTTCCTGTGGGCAGTTGTCCTCATCCCATGCCTTACGTGCTCTTTGCATTTGTGTTCTTGCAAAATGTGCCCATGTGGATGCCACACAGCCCGACTCCCTGTTGGGTAGTGTGGGGAGAGATGATGGCTCTTGTCACCTGTGGGCAGCCAGAGGCCTGGGCTCTGCTGTGGTCCTTCAGCTCAGCCTGCCACCATTGTGGGGCCATCGACAGGATCCACACTCACCTAGGATGGAAAAGTCCGGCTTAGAAAGGACCAGAAGCTTCCAGAACCATCTTCCTGGTCAGACACAGTAGCATGATCCCCCTCAGGGCCTGCTCTATCCACAGTGCAATGAATCCCCAGGGTTTCTTCAAAATTAGCCCCTGAGGGCTGGAGAGATGGCTCAGACATTACAGGCTAGGCTCACAACCAAAACTAGTCCGTGAGTCCCAGTGAAGGAGGACTTGTGTCAGGTGACACTGGGCCTGAGGTAAGTGCAGGTGCAAGCACACACTCTCCCAACGTTTTACACTGAGCCACACCCCAGCCCCTCACTGGGGGATTCTAGGCAGGTGCTTACCACTGAGCCACACCCCCAGCCCCTCACTGGGGGATTCTAGGCAGGAGCTCTACCACTGAGCCACACCCCAGCCCTCAGGTCCCAGCTTCTAATTGAAAAAGGATCCCATAACTCCACATAGAAAGCCAGTTGCTGGGTTTTTAGTTTTGTTCAGTGCTAAGCACTGAACCCAGGGCCTTTGCATGTCAGGAAATATCTACAGGTAAGCTACATGCCCAGCCCTCCTTCCCTTTTTTTAAAGACAGAGTCTCACTTGCCTAGGCTAGCCTCAAACTTTCTACCCCCACCCCCCACCTCAGTCTCAATTGTCTCTTTCAAAAACAGAATTTGAGGGTTTGTGAGCCAGCAAGAGGGTAAAAGCACATGTGGTCGAGCCTGAGTTCCATCCACAGGACCTGCGTGGGGGGAGGGGCAACTCATGCAAGTTGTCCTCTGCACCCCAACATGGGTACAAGGCATGCGTGCACACACATACATACACACAGACAGACAGACAGACAGACACACACACAGAGAACACACACATACATATACACACAGACACACACACACACAGAGACAGACAGATACACACAGAGACAGACACACACACATACACAGAGATAGACAGAGACAGACACACACAGAGACGGA